TAGTATCTCCTTCCCTCCTCTGAATAAGATGGGGCTTTCCTACCACTACTAGTTTTTCTCTTGAAGAAATTCTCCCTGTGAAACCCCACCCCCTAGGATAGCAGGATTTGTGAAACATAGGAGTGAAGAACTTACTAAAAATAAAGGGATTAGAAAGTCTACCTATTCAATAATGAAACTCCCAGTCTACTTTCCCTCAAGGAGGGCAGAGGAGGATTTCGCTCAGGAGCAATTCAGCAGTCTCAGAGACTCACAGAGAGCAACACTTGCAAATCTTCAGTCCTACCATCCAGTGATTCTTTCCAGTCAACGGAGCTACCTGAAGCTCCCCAACTCACCACACACATGCACACATAGAGCAAAATCTGTCTTTTTAAATATTTTTCTCAAATATACTTGTAAACATATAACAGTAAATCACTTGTCTCTTGACAAGCAAAATGATTCTACCATGACAGAAAAAAATTGAGATCCAGAACCAAATATAGAACAAGAGGTAAGAGAAGATTGAACAACCAGCAAACTAAGGTATAAAAAGGAAACAGCACCAGCCATGGCAGAGCATGCCTATAACTCCAAACTCCAGGAATCTGAGGCAGGATGATTATAGGTAGAAGCCCGTTGTGGACAACTTAGTAGCATAGCAGGACCCTGTTTCAAAAATAAAAAAACAACAGGCAATGCAATGCAATACAAAGGTAGAGAGAATAAGTTCAATTTCCAATAAGAGGGAGAAAAGAAGCACGAGCTATAGTAGCACACACTTTAATTTCAGTTCTTGGGAGGCTGAGGCAGGAGGATAGCAACAAGTTCAAGGCCAGCCGGGGCTATATAGTGAATTCAAAGCCAAAATGAGACCTTATTTCAAAAAAAAAGAAAGAAAAAGAAACATAGAAAAACAAAAACCTGATATCACATAGATTAGGTGGGGAAAGGGAATATAAGCATGTGTGTTATGTATATATGCACCAACATCTATATGGGGTACAATATATCCTGCTTATGGGAATGTCTTTACGTGAAGTGATGTATAGTACCATTTTTTCAGGGTGTAAGACTGGCAAATCCCCATGTGCTCAACTAAAACAAGTATGAGTAAATTCCCCCCAACATTTCTGTGTGTGTGTGTGTGTGTTGTGTGTGTGTGATGATAAAGATTGAACAGAGCCTCCCACATGCTAAGCAAGCATTCTGTATATTTATATTTCAATAAATCTTAATCTCTAAGGCACATTTCTTAGAACTGGTATCAGAAAAATCTATAAATAAGCTCTATTCTGCCTCGCTTCTCCACCAGCTGGACTTGCATTTATTACTGTATTTTTAACAGGCTTATGCAAATTTCACCTTCCATTTCAGAAACTGATCCAAGCACTAGATATAACCCAAATCTCTAGAACTATTAAATATTTGTATTCATGGGCCATTTTCCATACAGCGATGCCCATTTCTAAAAAGCATTTTCTCATGTTCAATGTTTTAACTTCCAATTTTCTCCCCTAAACAGAACTACAATACTTGGGATTCTCAGCCAAGGACTATATGACCGACCCTACCACTACAATGTGTCACTTTGATATATTTTTAAAAATGGGTTAAGACAAAATTTTAAAAATAGCTCAAACAATTCTGCTTATTAATAAACTAATTAATAGCCTATTTATTTATTTAGGTTTTTTTTTCTTTTTTGAGACAAGATCTTGCTGTGTAGTCCCAGCTGGGCTTAAAAACTCACCATGTAGCTCAGGCTGGCCTTGAACTTGTGGCAGTCCTCCTGCCTCAGCCTCCTGAATGCTAGGATGACAGATGTGTACCCCCACACTCAGCCTAATTATTTTTTTAAGGTAGTCCAGTCTATCCAATTTCACATGTAGATATAACCTTAATGCTACTAGAGATTTTTAGCTTTTTATTTTCCTTGAGTGTTTTTATTTTGTTTTTCCGTATTTTGAGGCAGGGTCTCACTCTGTAATTTATGCTGATTTTGAACTCACTACATATGTAGGCCAGACTGGCCCAACTCATGACAATCCTCTCGCCTCAGCCTTCCAAGTGCTGGGATTACAGGTCTGCACCACCACAGTGAGCCCTCCCCCTTTGCTTTTTGTATGTACCAAATCTGGAGGGAAGCCTACTAGGTAGTTTCCAGGGGAATTTTGTCTTCCTTTCACTGAATAGCTGATGGGGCAATCACACTATTTTCAAGACAATGTTACCTGGCAGCTAAGCAACAGGCAAGACAGACTTCCTGTCATAAAGACTCTTTCACTGTTATGACCCAGAAAATCAAACTCTCCCTTGCTCAGGTCATAACCAAACATGGCAGCAAGTCAGGGCTCCCTCTCCACTCAACAGGATGCACTCCTAAGTCACAGTGCCAGGCTTTGATGGTAGAACCCTAGGAGTGGAGATGCAATTGCAGAAGGGGCAAAGGAAAAGGAAGATAAGGAGAAAGAAAGGGAGAGGACGGGGACTGATGCCTGAAGGAGGATTAGAAAATCTTAGGGAGTCAGGATGGTAGGATGCCAGAGAGAGAAAGCGGGTCATCACTCCTCCCTCTTCTCCACCTCACCCCCACCCCACCGCTCTCATTGGGAGCAGCCAGCAGAGGTCAATGGCGGCATGACCTGACATCAACGTGATCCCAGGTGAAAGAGGCAGCAACAGAGAAGGGCTCAGAATGGGAAACAAATTCAGTTAGCAAAAAAAAAAAAAAAAAAAAAAAAAAAAAAAGAGAGAGAGAGAGAGAAAGCAAGAAAGACAGAAAGAGAGAGAAAGAAGTTTAAAGTCTGGCAGATCCCCTTACCCAGGAAGGGGTCAATGACACTCAGAGCCACAGTTGTTATCCGGAAGGTCCAGACCAGTGGTGCTGAACTGTGGCACATGAGCCACAGCAGGTTGTCTGTTATCACTGAAAGCTCTGAAAGGTTTGCCATCGCTGGTCAAAACTGTCTACTTAATAAAGATACTTGAGGAAATACTTATTTTCATTACCCTAACCCCAACTACCACAGAAGGAACAGTCTTTTGTTTTCCCGTGGAAAGGTAACTGCACTCAGATAAATTGATATACTTCAAGCTCAGACCAAAGTATTTGCATATCTTCTCCCATCTAGATGTCGCACTCATGTTTTTCACCACTTTTATTCTGTATCACTTGATATGTCTGTCTTTATTTCTGAAGAAAAAGATCTGAGTACTGATTTGTCTTGTAATCTCTTAAATGTCTGCATTGTGTTTTCTCTGAGGTCTGAAAAAATTTGAGTTTGACTGTAGGTTTTCCCACACTGAACAAATTCCTAAGCTTTCTCCGTACTGTGGACTCTTTAATGATTGAAAGGCAAAAAAAAAAAAAAAAAAAAAAAAACTGGGCCACAGGTCTGCTATATAAAGTCTTTCCTACCTTCAAGATGTTTCCAAGGTTTTTGTCCATACGGTCCGTGGTGTTGCACAAGGATAGAACTTTTGCTTAGCACTTTCCTGTACTCCATACCCCATAAGGTTTCTCCCACTGTGAATTCCTTGATGAAGAATAAGGGATGAGCCCTGAGAGAAGGGTTTTCCATACTCATTGCATTTAAGTTTTTTCTTTCTTCCTTTCCTTCTTTCTTTTTTTTTTTTTTTTTTTTTTTTTTTTTTTGTCTTTTTCGTTTTTATCAGTACCAGGGATCGAACTCACGACTGCCTGCTTGCAAGGCAGGCGCTTATGCCGCTGAGCTAAATCCCCAGCCCGAGACAGGGTTTTTCTATGCAATTGTAGTCAGGGGTTGTGAGGAGAACAATTATATACAGAACACAGAATTTATAATACAATTTTATGGTGGTCACCTGGAGTTAAATATAAAGAAAGTGCAGGAAATCTCTCCACAACACTAAAGACCCATATTAATCCAAGGGCCTGGATCCCACCGTAATGTTCTGCATGAGTCCTACCGAAGACCCAGAGCCCATGACAGTGCCTCCCATGAGTTCAACTGGAGGTCTTAGAGCCAACAAAAATGACTCACGCCACTCTGTTTTACGGATCTGCACTGGGAAGGCCCGAAGGTCAGCAGTGGAAGCTAGAAAGTCTATGCCAGTGGGGTGAAGGAGCTGTGCTGAAACATCGAGGGCTCTACACTGGAGCTGAGAAATCATGCTCAAAATAAGGACCAAAGCACCTCTGAAAATTACCATAGCCATCTTCAGCGACAAGGTCCTGAGCTCCTCCGATGATAATGGCCGAGTTCATATAGGGGAAGCCAACATGACAAGCTCCTCCAAGAGAACCAACAGCTCTAAACAGTGACACTTAGTCTCCTAATCCACAAAGCCTTCCTCTTCTCCACATCTCTATTTATGCTGGCAACTTTCTTCAGGTGGAACATCTGTCCTCAGCACCACACTGATTTAATTCAGCTGGTGTTAAATTGACCACCAGTTTTTAATCCATAACAGCAATTTAGGCTGACTTTGAATTCACTTTGTAGCCCAAGGTAGCCTTGAACTTGCAGTGACCCTCCTGCCTCAGCCTCTAGAGAGTGCAAGTTGTTTCTTTTGAGAGAGTTTCTCTTTTCTTTCAAACCTGCCCTTTGGGAAACAGATTTCTCCATATTTAAAACTTTGAGGAATAACTATATTGAGAGTGCCAGGAACTATGGGACTATAACAGGGAAACAGTCTCCTTTGGAGATAGTGCTTCGTGTCAGGCCAAACATCATCAACACAGCACCTTAGGGGATGGAGTCTCGAGATTCCTGCTTGAGCTGGTCATTGCACTCAGAGCTCGGTATAGGGAGCGATGTGACCTCCCCACTGTTGTCTCCCTGCCTCTCCCTCCTATGGGCACATAATGTGCCTGCCTACATTAACCATAATCCTCTCCTACTTACATCACCTACACGGACGTGACAATGACCCATCAGAGATCACCCCGCAGCCTCTTCCTGTCCCGCCAGCCCGTCCCTGCCCTATAAAAGCAGCGACCACTTTATTAATAAATGAGGCTTAATCGGATTTTTTCGACTTGTCTCCGTCTCTCTGTCTCCGGCCCTGTCTGTGTTAATCCCCGTTCCTTCTCCAGGAAACTGCCCCGAAGATCCGGATTGACCCATGGGCCGGGTGAAGTGGCGCCCATCATCGGGCTCCTGGTATGAAGGGCTCAACGAGGGAGCTGTCCTGAGACACGCACATAAAAGTGAAACTAAAAGTTTTGTGACCAACGCTACGTGGGAACCTGCCACACCGCTAGCATCATGGTAAGTGGACGGCGATCCTTTCCCTTTTCTCTGGCATGGGTCAGGCATTAAGTGACCATAAACGCTTTGTATCAAGTTTAAGTAAAGCTTTAAAGACAAGAGGGATAAAGGCTAAAGAAAAAGATTTATTGCAATATTTTCAATTTATTCATAAGGTTTGCCCTTGGTTTCCTTTAGAGGGCTCTATTGATGCAAAAAGATGGGAAAGAGTAGGAGATGCATTAAAGAATTACTATCGGGTCTTTGGCCCTGAAAGTTCCCAGTTACAGCCTTGGCCTACTGGAACCTAATCTCGAAGCTATTTACACAGCGCTGCCAAGACCCTCAAATTGATAAAACAATCACCCAAGATGAAGTCGCTTTACACACTTCCACTTCGCCAACATCGCGCCCTTCAGGAGATGAATCTAAACCTTCTTGCCCCTCTGATGAGTCAAATGATATGTTAAAAAAAGCCCCAAGAGAGCGGCCCACCGCCATCCGAGCCCATACCACCTGAGGCCCACCACAACTCTTTATATCCCAACCTCGCTCCTTTACAAGAGGTCGATTGGAAACAATTAGCAGAAGAAGCTAGCCGACATCACTCAGACCCTATTGTAGCCCCCGTTTCCATAAAACCACCCCCTCACTACAATAAGACACCCAAATTGTTTGGCCCCTCTACTGCACTTCTCGACTTAGAGTCAGAGATCCATGACTTGCAACAACAGGTCCAATTAGAACAAGAAAAACAAAGACTCATTCTGCAACTCCAAAGTTTACGAATGAGCAATTTAGATGCCACCCCTAAGATGGCACCAGCTTCTAAAATAGCTCTTGCCTCACTTCTGCCACAATAGGGTGGGCCCCTCCCCAAAATGGTGTTTCCGGTAACGGAAACAAACGTACCTCCCCAAGATGGCGCTGCACAGCCGCAAGACGGCATGGACACCACACCGCTAGCTCCACAAGTCATTAGGACCCATACGCCATTCACAGTGGCAGCTTTAAAAGAATTAAAGACAGCAGTTGCCCAGTATGGCCTTACAGCTGCTTTCACTCTTGCTGTTTTAAACTCTCTGGCTGACGGCTGGCTCACACCTACAGATTGACAAAGATTGGCCCGAGTGACTTTATCGGGTAGGGATAATCTTTTGTAAAAATCAGAATATACAAAAAATTGCAAAGAGACGCCAGGCGCAATACGCAAGCCGGCAATGAGTAGGACCTTAATATGTTAATAGTAGAAGATGCCTATGCGTGCAGAGAAGCTCAAAAGGAGTTTAATCCAGCACTTTTTGCTCAAATTCAAACAGCAGCTACTCGAGCATGGAGAAAGCTGCCTGCAAAAGATAATATGAGCTCCTCTCTCACTAGCATTAAGCAAGGCCCAAATAAACCCTTTGCAGAATTTGTTGATCATTTGATTACTGCTGCTAACAGAATCTTTGGCCACGCTGATGCAGGCACTGATTTTATTAAACAGCTAGCTTTTAAAAATGCCAACACCGCCTGCCAGGCCGCTATCAGACCTCATAAAAATAAAACAGACCTAACAGGATATATACACCTTTGCTGTGACATTGAAACTGCTTGTCAGCAAGGCCTTGCTATGGCTGCTGCCTTGCAAGGGTTTACAGTTAAACAGTTCTTATCTCAAAAGCATAAACAAAACTGTTTTACCTGTGGAGAGACTGGTCATTTTACAAAAAAAGACTGCAGAGATAGAAATTCCAATGTCAATTACTTTGACTCATTTAATTGATCAGAGTGATATTGGTCTGGTCTCTTGAGTTTAATTTCAGCATATGTAAGGATGGGGACAACTGCTGAGAAAAAATTGAGAGATACCACATTGGTTATTATTGTCTTCCCCAATGTCAGATCTTGAAAACCTGAGGAGCCTTCATCATCCTGTGGTGGTTTGATTAGTTCTATAATATGCAGTGTGTATTTAATGTGCATAAAGATGGGGACAACTGTTTGGAAAAAACTAGAGACAATTATATAAACAGTGAAGATCTCCAGTGGTCTTGCTTTGAAATCTGTACTTCTTTAAATCTCTTTTTTTAAAAAACTGTTTTGTTCTGTTTTGATATATTTAGTCTTGCCCTCTTTGAGATGAAAAACAAATGTGTAAGACTGATAGACATATTACTAAGTTTTTGTTAGATCATTGAGCAAAACTGCTGGCAGTGTCACTATTTAAATGTCACTTTACATACTTTAATTTTGTAACCTGAACAACTATTTTTAAGATGACAATATATAACTTATCAACTGGTGATTTCTTACCATTTATTTTTCTGTAATTCTATATTAAGATCACTAGAGAACAAGCCAGACAGATTGTAAAAGACTGCCCATCCTGTGCTATCCACCTACCCATGCAACACTTAGGGGTTAATGCAAGGGGCCTTGTTCCCAATGCCCTGTGGCAAATGGATGTCACTCATATCCCAGAGTTTGGCAACCTAAAATATGTCCATGTGAGCACTGATACATACAGTGGCTTTATCTTCACCATCCTCCAAACCGGAGAGGCTACTAAACATATCATTGCTCACATGCTGTCAGCTTTATCAGTGCTTAGAAACCCTCATCAACTTAAGACCGACAATGGTCCTGGATATACTAGCACTTCCTTTGCCCACTTCTGCAAGTTCCTCAATATCCTCCATACAACAGGAATACCTTACAATTCACAAGCCAAGGCATTGTTGAATGTGCACATGGTTCTCTCAAGCTCACTATTGATAAAGTCAAAGGGGAATCATGGTATCCTATACAAGGACCCCCCAGAAATATTCTATCTCATGCCTTATTCATCCTTAACTTTTTAAATTTGGATGCTTCTGGACAGTCAGCAGCCATGCATTTTTGGCATACTGAAACACAAAAGCAATTTGCTTCTGTACTATGGAGAGACCAACTCATGGCATGGCCCTGACCCCGTTCTCATATGGGGACGCGGTTCAGTGTGTGTACACTCCCATCAAGACAAAGAGGCTAAATGGCTCCCCAAATGCCTCATTAGGCAAATTAATGAGCCAAATAATAATAACCCCCAAAAAGTCCAGGAGTAAACACATACCCTGAGGCAACTTCTTGTGCTTCCTTACAGAAAATGCCAAACTGATGGATTACGTGGTGCCTTCTCGAGATCCTCCTTGGACCACCCTTGACCAATGGTGGATTTGGACCTCCCGTCACAAATGGCCTCTAACCCCTTCTCCACGCTCTGAGGGCTCTTTCCCTACCTAGTGCCCCTCCTGGGGCCCCTAGCTGCCTTGTGGATTCTCCTCTCTGTGGTCCTTGTATTTTTCAGAGGATTATGGCGCTCATTAATAACCGGATAGAGGTGTTTATGACAAAGCCCATTCAGGTACACTATCACCAGCTGGCGATGGCAAATTAACAAACCTACCAGGAAAGAATTCCCACGAGTGGCCCATATGACGATGTGGCCTAACCACCCTGAGATAATGGACAGGCAGCCAGAGACAGGCAACTAGGACATACATGCTACAATACCGGCCACCTAAGACAGGCACAGGACCAACTGCTGTCCTGCAAGCCCATGACGGGTAAGGCTCGGTTGGGTTCATGTAATGAGGTCCTTGACCTAAGACAGGCGCTGTCCTCACAGAGCCTGCCATACTCCTGATTAAAATATATATATATATATATATATATATATATATATATATATATATATAAAAGGGAGGAGATGTAGGGAGCAGTGCGACCCGCCTCTCCCTCCTATGTGCACATAATGTGCCTGCCTACATTAACCATAATCCTCTCTACTTACATCACATACACGGACATGATGATGACCCATCAGAGATCACCCCGCAGCCTCTTCCTGTCCCACCAGCCCGCCCCTGCCCTATAAAAGCAGCGACCACTTTATTAATAAATGAGGCTTGATCAGATTCTCTAGACTTGTCTCTGTCTCTCTGTCTCCAGCCCTGTCTGTGTTAATCCCTGTTCCTTCTCCGGGAAACTGCCCCGCAGATCCAGATTGACCCGCGGGCCGGGTCAGCTCAGTAATCCTGAACTGCTTACTGAGATGCCATCTCCTTACTGGCACTTTCTGTTTCCATGGAACGAGCAAAAACAGCTGTCTGGGGCTGACCAGTTCATCCTCCAAATTCTCCAACACTGTCGCTGCCCCTCTTCATTTTCTGGACGATGCCCCCTAATCCGAGTCTGTGGCTACTGGCGTTGGATAGCAACAAACTGCTCCAGCACCACCAGCCCCACCAGTTTGCTCCTTTATGTGGCCTCTGGCTCGAGCCACAGAAACTTCTGGAAAGTTCTAGAAGTTGGCTCACAGCCTCACATGGGTGGGTAAATCCTGATAACCTAACTGCTGTAATTGCTGTCAAAAACCTCGGGGTCAGGGAAGTGATTCCAGGCTCTACTGATGTGATCCTCTTCGGCACCAGCCTCTGCCTCCCTCCCAATACTTTTCCCTCTTCTCGAGTTGAGAAATACTGAATCTTTTCCCACTGACTGTGTAGACATGCTGATTTGTAACGTGTACTTTAAGTTAAGACCAGCAAGGCAGGCTGTAAACCTTGGGAAGCACCCCGTTTCCTGTCCCCTTCACTGTTCTTTGGCTCAGGAGCTGCGGCAGTGTTCCTGTGCAGGGCAGACACAGAGATGCTGCTGGCAAAGTGCTTCCCAGAAGCTCGTGGAGCTGACAGTGAACAAGAAACTATTAGGAGAAATCCAGGAGGCAACTGGATTTAAATAATTCATTGTTGAACCAGCTAACATATTGTCAAATTTTTCCAGATACTGGAAATTGAACCCAGGGCCTTTGTACTGAGCCACATCCCCAGCCTTTTTATTTTTTATTTTGAGATAGGGTCTTGCTAAGTCTCTAAATTGTCCAAGCTAGGCTCCAATTCCTCAGCCTCCCACAGTGCCAAGATTATAGGTCTGTACCACCATGCCCAGAGTGAAGTTACACTACTTCAAATAGCTTCCATTCTTATTTTAGTTTCCTGGAATTATCTCTATAAAAATTGAAACTTTCCCCTCAAAATCTTATTTTTAAAAAGGAGATGAACATCCTGAGTACCATTCTCAGTACCCAAAAAAGGAGAGGAGTTGACTTACTGATTGGGTATTTTGTTTTGTTTTGTTTTTTACTGTTTTTGCACAGAATTGTATTTAATATGTTTTTAAATAAATCAAAAAATTTGAGATGGTTTGGTTTGGCTTGTTTATTTTTGGATAATCATAATTTCCAGCATGAACAGTTTTCTTTCATGGACTTAATTCCCCAAACCCATCTGCTTTATCAAATTTTTCAGATATTTTCCCTTTACCAATATTTAATTCTATTTTTTGGGTCAGCAATAAATATTACCATGTGTGATTTTAGTAAGTGTTGGTTTATTTTTATTGTTGTTGTTGTTGTTCCCACTAAGTAGCCCTGACTGACCTTGAACTCCAGAGTTCTGGGATTACTGGCAAGTGATATCACACCCAGTGGTAGCTGGTTTCTACTTTTTAAATCTAATTCATGAAAAAAATGTGTTTAATATCTCTTGGATGTGTTAAATATCTCTTGGATAGCTTAGGATTGGTATAAAGTTCATGACTGGGCTAATGTACTGTTAAGCCAATTCTCTTAACCAGTTTCCCCAACTTGTTCCAAATATCCACATGAAGATTAGGGCAAATGTCCTACTTCATAAAAATTAAATAACTTCAGAGCCAGGGATATGCCTCAGCAGCACAGTGCCTGCCTAGCAAGTGCTAGGTCATGAGTTCCATTCCCAGTACCAAAAAACATTAACAATTTCAGTGACCAGATGAAAAATGACAGACTCCAAAAAATTTTCAAAAGAGCTTTGTAGCTGAGTTCAGGGGCAACACTGTCCCAGAAAAGCAGCCAGGGAAGTGTTCACACAGCCAGGGGCTGCAGGGAGTTATAAAGTAGCAAGCCACAAGGGGAGGGAGGGGTCAGGGTCTCAGGATCAGTTTGTCCCCATAAAAGGAACCAGGGAAGTGGAACAAGCAGTTACAGGAACCAGGGAGGCAGGGAGGGGTTACATGGTGGGTATGCTACAAGGTTGCAACTTAACTGGCAAATATACAAGTTTTACAGGAAGAGAACAAGTTATAATAAGTACAGCACATTTTGGGTTTTTGAGCTTATGATATTCCCCACTGCTTTTGGTCACTGAGTCAAATCTGACTGTTGCATAATCATCTGTAGGTAACTGTTTATGTCCTTCTTATCTAAGTATGAACATTTTAACAGCTTGAAATCAGTCCTGGATGTGATTTAGAAGGCACTTTATAATAGATGGCCCCACGGTTAAAGCAAGTAAAGGAGAACAATTGGTCCTGTTAGAGCTGAGAGTAGGGTGGTCAGCCAGTGGGATAGTGAGAACAGGTTTTGAAACCTATTCTGGTCAAGTTGTCGTTGTTGCTCTCGTTCATGGAGTCTTTTTCTAAGCTTGTTCATGCTGTCTCATATGACTCCAGAGTGACTGATACAGAAACAGCAGGCTTCTCCTAATGTCACACATAGACCACCTTCCTTCATGAATAGTAAGTATAGGCCCCTAAGGTTTTGGAGAACCATTTCAGCTAGGGCGCCTAGTGATTCCTCTAGTTTGGATACTGAATGTCCTAGGGCTGCTAGATCTCTATCTATAAGAGCACTTAATTTGAGGTAATTCTTGTCACCAATTATTAAGCTTGTAGCTCCCAATGCTTTGGCTCCAGAGAGACCCAGTCCCATCAAAACTGATATTAACACAGACACTGCTCGAGCTGTCCTATAAAGAGGTCAGATTCTAAATTTAAGTGTTCTCTTCCATTAGTGCCAGAATACCAGTAAACTTAAGGAGATAGATATGTAAGAATACATAGTTTAGTATGCCTAGCAAATATATCAAGCGTGACACAAACCTGAAGTATAAGCAAACCAAGATCCTGTAAGGGCTTCCAGGTGTTGACTCGGCGCATAAGAGACGTTAGTTATCACGATAGAGTCAGAACATAAGTTTGCATAGGGGCTAGATTCAAGGTTATAGGCAGTAGCTCTGACATAACATTTAATAAGGTAAGGATGAGTTAGATTATGGCTGGCTAACAAAGCAAGCTGTATATGACAAGCAAAGAGGATTATCAAGAGCATTTTGACAATTTAAGGGGATGTCTTAGTTACTTTTTACCATCACTGAGACAAAATACCTGATGCACCAAATTGGGAAAGGAAAGGTTTATTTCTTACAGTTTTTTGGAGGTTTCAGTCCATACTCAGTTGGCTCCAAGGCAGGGTGACATTGCAGAGCTGCAGCTCGTGATGGCTGCAAACAGCAAGCCAAAAACCAGCAAAAGAGCAAGATACGCCTTCTTCTTGCCATTATACCACATCTTGGCTCCACCCCTATGCGGGTGTAACACTGACACCATCAATCCAAGCACTATACAATGAACCAATCACAGATGCATAATGTAAATGCATGAGGCCTGGGGGCCACCAATATAAACCATGACAGAGGGTTCTCATTTCATGTGACGATCCACGTATCTGTTTCCTGAGCATCCGGTGGGATAACCTTGATGTGAAAATGATGCATCCAGGTAAGTTTTCCTACTACTTTGACAGCCATAGGGGTGCTGAGGACAGTGTATGGTCCAGTCCAGCGAGGTTCAAGAGAAGAGTTGCAGGAACTACGCTTAAGTAGCACTTGATCTTCGGGAATAGCAACAAGTGGAGTTTATGGTGTGGGCAGAGATTTGACTTGGTGGTCTCAGAAGAGTTGGTGAATGGAAGTCAGAACAGGTTGAAGAGCCTTTAGAGACTTAATTAAACTGTGGCTAGCAGTGTCTGCCAAATGAGTACTATTCTATTAAGGCAGGAGATGAAGGGTGGCTGTCTCCCATAGACTGCCTCAAAAGGGGTTATTCCATTTATATACGGAGTACAACATGCATGCAGGAGGGAAAAAGGAAGGAGGCTCACCCAGTTTTTGCCAGACTATAAAATCAATTTGTTAAGCATCTCTTTTAGAGTTTGGTTCATCTTTTCAACTTGACCTGAACTTTGGGGATGGTAGGCACAGTGAAATTTCCAATCAATCTGTAATAACTGAGCAACTTTATTAGTGATAGAAGCTATTAAAGCTGGGCCGTTGTTGGACCCCATAGATAAGGGAAGGCCAAATCTAGTAATTAATTCATATAAAAGCTTTTTGACAACAATTGAGACCAATTCAGTCTTCGTCGGATATCCCTCAGGCCAACCAGTGAAAGTGTCTACCAGAACCAGTAAATACTTATGTCTATGTAGTCCTGGTTTCCCCATTTCTGTGAAATCAATTTCCCAGTGTTCTCCAGGAAAAGAACCTCAGTGTCTAGTTCCTTCTGAGATAGCCGCCACTTTGGCATTTACTTGCAGACATTGTGGGCATCTTTGACTGACTTCCTTTTGCCAGTTGAGTCAGGTTAGGAATGAAGTACCTGTTCCAAAGCAACTCAGGCAGTTTTAAGCCTTCTAGGTATGAGGCCTGGTAGATTTGAAGAATCAAGGCTCTTTCTAAGGAAGTGGGTATTAAAATTCGTCTGTCTGGCAATTGAAACCAATTTTCAAGGGGCTCTTGTTTTGCTCTCAGTCGTCTTGCTAGCTCTTGATTTGACCTGGAATACACCAATTGGGGCAAACAAGGGAGTGGCAGAACTGGCAGCAAATGGGCCATAGGCTGTACAGATAACTTTAGAGCTGCCCCTTGAGCACTCCTGTTAGTGAGTGCGTTTCGTATCAAGATTAGATCTTTTCTCATCTGGTGGCCCCTACAATGCACCACTGCTATAGATTTGAGGAGTCAAACAGAGGCTACAAGTCCAACATAAAAGGAGCATTCTTCATCTTTGAACTACTAGAGGTTAGGAGCCCCCTCTC